GGCTGCCAACCAAAAGGTCAGCAGTTCAAATCCACCAGCCGCTCCTTGGAAACCCTATGGGGCAGTTCTACTCTGTCCTATAGGGTCGCTCTGAGTCGGAATCAAGTTGCTAAGTGGCAACAAGTTGAGTTTTAAACCAGTCTTAGCCTGGGGGGAGGAGCCCTGGTGGCACAACTGTTAAACACTCAGCTGCTACCCGAAAGGTTGGTGGTTCAAATCCAGTCGACTTAACAGCACACAACAGTCTGGGGGAAAGTCACTAATGGAGAGAATAAATAGACCCTGCCTAGATGGTCTCCATCTCTTCCCCGGCTTAAATTCATCCTACCCAGTGTATTATCCTCAGCTTCAGTTGTGTTTTAATCATTACATTCCCCTTCTTTGAAATTTTCTCGGATCCCCAATTATCATGCAAATCAAATTAAAATTCTCATCAAAATTCCAAGCCTTCCACCAGTTTGCCCTCTCCCCGTTCTTACCTAACTACTCTTGACTCCCACTAATATCAGTTCACATTCCTGGCATTAGCCTAACAAACGCAGAAACTCACTCAGGTGAGTCCCCTTCTCTGCTTCTCTTGCTCATCAGGAAGCCGAGCTCCCTCGCTCTGCACAAACAGTGCCTAAAAGTCAGTGCTCGGGTTTGGGAACTGTCTGCTGCCAGGCCCACTTGCCCTTTGTCACCTAGCTCTGCACAGCTCTTACCACAGGCATGTGTTCCTTTATTTACAAGTTCTTTCTCTGCTGCACTATGGCCACTGAGGATAGGGTCCCGTGGCTGCACCGACTTACTACCTCAGCTTCCCAACTCTGCACACAGGCCCTGCACCTTCTGAGCACTTCCTGGTGGTGGTTATTGCCTTTATTTTAAATAGCATGGTTAAAGTTTTTATGTATTTGCTTTTGTTTTCCTTTTTCTTTAGGTACAAAGCGAAGACAGTGTCCTCCTGTTTGTTATTGCTTGGACAGTCACAGAAATTATCCGTTACTCCTTTTACACATTCAGTCTATTAAACCATCTGCCTTACCTCATCAAATGGGCCAGGTAAAAAAGTACATGGAATGAAAACTAGCTTTTGAAAGTATCCATCACTGCATTTGTCATTTATTGCCTAAATACTGCCCCTCGGTTTCTAAAAATAAAATTGTGTGTTGGGTAGAAAACTGGTCTGTGGATTTTATCAGAGGAAGGCACTCTGCTTACTTTGGTTAATAGAAGCACTGTTTTTAAATATCTATTCTACTTAAATTATTTTTATTGGAATCAACTCTTTTTAGTTAAATTATTCAGTTAAGATTTGACATAACATCCTTTTTGTCCGTATCAAATTTAGCTTCTGTAATTATGATGTTTTTTGGGACCAAGTCCAATTCACCTAGTCTCAATTTTGCCAGGAAACTATATGACTGTAATATCAATTTTTAGCAAATAATAAATACTGTATGTCAGTTTTAGCTTGTTATCAGTTTATTTTTATCAGTAATACTCATTATGAATTGGGTAAAAGACTAATAGTTCATCTGTTTATCTTAGTTAGTCCTTGAGGCCGTTGTGAGCAGTTTTCTGGGTTGGAAAAGACCATGGAGGGGAGTGACAAAACAGAGGGATCAGAATTGTCCTCAGGGCCCAAATGCCTTATTTCATGGAAACAAAATAGCAGTTCCTAGAGAATTTATGAGTTTAGTGACTAAATTAGGAACATAAACCAGTTGTTCCCAACATTTCCAGTATGAGAACACCTATTTTATTGTAATGCTTTTTTTTTTCTTTTTGCAATAAATATTTTTATTAAGAAAAAGGAAGAATGGGAAAATATATAGCAGTTACCAATCAAATATGAAATCCTACCAAACTGGCATTGTGACTGCTGTCTACCCTGGTTGTAAGGGAAGTTTGTTGACCAAGCCCTGATTTTCCTACTGGAGAAAGATTATTTTGTCCATTGTTCTCCATGGCCTGTGGAAGATTCTTCTATTTCCACTATCCATGGCTCAAGTTACCATTGGGGAATACGTCTTTCTTTCATCTTTTCAAATTCCTCAACACAATCCCTATGCCTGGAAGCTTGGAGCGCAAATGCTTGTTGTAAGCCTTGAACAGCCAAAGGCTTTTTAAAAGCTGAGCTGATGGTTTCTTTGGCCATATGTGTGTTTCAAAATGTCTTCCAGTTACTTCCATGGAGTGGTAACTGCCCTCTGAATTATTTGGGGTAGTAACTGCCCTCTGAATTCTTTATGGGTAGTAACCGCCTTCTGAAATCTTTTTGAAATATAAAGATCTCCTTCTTAAAGTGAAAAAAGTTTTGTAGATTTGCCCATGTGATGGTAAATCTAATCATAGTTTTTTTTAATTGGGAAGTTACATAATGACCAAAAGCTATTATGAATTTTAAAATACTTAAGAAACATTAGCATGTTTCATTTATCACAGTAGCATGTACAGACATTGGAGAAATAGTAGCAATATACACACTTTGATGTGCTGTTTTTTTCAGTCCACAGACCAGACTTGGTGCATGGTGTAGGGCTTCCTAGATACCTTGATCTGACACCTTCTTTCCCTGCCCCTCCAAGCCCCTCAGCTCCTCCTGTATCCTACAGCGCAGGATTCTTCCATATAAATCCTCCTTTATCAGTATTTAACATCACCTTAGTTATTTTAAGGAGATGTTTCGAAGAGTTGTTTATTTAGTTAGGCTGAATTTTGAGGCTGGCTGAACACGTTTTATTTTAGAACAATCAGAAACGTGTACCTGCCACCAGTCGTTTTCAAAAACTGGTTTGTAAAAAACCTGAATTTAAACAGTGTTACCAACTGTTTAAATAAATTTCCCACAGGATAATTTATAAACAATAGGTTCTTAAAAGACCAGTGCTGATTAGAAGGGAGGAAGCGCATCGTTCTCCTAAAGCTGGCTTCGCGCCTCAGTAATTAATATTTTGTTTTGTTTTAGGTACACACTTTTCATTGTACTGTACCCAATGGGAGTATCAGGAGAGCTGCTCACAATATATGCGGCTTTGCCCTTTGTCAGACAGGCTGGCCTGTATTCCATCAGCTTACCTAACAAATACAATTTCTCCTTTGACTATCATGCGTTCCTAATTCTGGTAATGATCTCTTACATTCCACGTAAGTAAACAATTATGCATATATTTATTTATGTTTAAAAACTGACCTTTGCAATAACTAGAGTTGAATGTCTTTGATTGTTTTAGACCATATCCCAGTAAATGTACATCTAATGTATTGGGGAAAGCTTTGGTTTTTACTGAATGCTCACTGTCAACAGGAATTTTCCCTGGCATTAATTGAATAAAGAAACCCTTGTCAGTATGTGGGTTTGAAACAGGGAATACTAGGATAGGTTAACTGTCTATGAGGGGAAAGTACTGAGTGGAGAAAGGAGCCCTGGTGTCACAGTGGTTAAAGCGCCTGACTGCTCACTGAAAGGTCAGCTGTTCTAATCCACCAGTGGCTCCTTGGGAGAAAGATGTGGCAGTCTGCTTCTGTAAGGATTACAGCCTTGGAAGCCCTATGGGGCATTTCTACTCTGTCCTGTAGGGTCACTGTGAGTTGGAATCGACTCAGCGGCCACGGGTTTGGTTTTGGTTTTTACTGAGTTGAAAACAAAACAAAAAAAAAAGCCATTAAAGAGTTTGCCTTGATTTTATTTTTCTGTCCCTTGAGAGCTGCTCGGTATGGTATTTAAAAACATTGTAAAAAGATGTTTCATTGTTTCTTATATCAAAATAAATGGTTATTTCACTTTTAAGGGATCAGTTTACTTAACCAGAAACAGATAAAAACAAAGTAAAAATAGATGATTTTTTTCCCCATATTTCTCATTTTCTTGTTTAGAAATGAGCACTAAAACCATCTGAATGGGACATGGTGTTCTGTGTTCAGAATGGTTTCTAGTCATTTTCATAGTGTTGCTGAAGGTTTGAATATATGGATAATGAAACGTGCCTCTCAGCATACTCAGTAGCAGAGAGAAAAGGTTTGTTTGAAGCTTCTGTAAGAGGAGGCCTGTTTGCTAAGGAAGAGGGGTCTAGTTCTTTTCTCAAATAGTGATGCTTACTTGTAAATCCTATGACTGATTTTTGCATATCCAAAAGGATCTTGTTACACCCAAGGACATATAATGTCAGTTTCTTCTCCCTTAGCCATTTCTGTAGCCATTAGAACTGTGAATCTTATTTTCATCCATAAAAGTTGCTATATTCCCCCCTAAACCCCAGGTTAAATTCAGGCAGGGTTGGATTTTTCTTCAGCCCACAGCAGTAACCAAATGAATCATCCTAACAATTGTTAAGTGACATGTTTGTGTCCTTCTGTGGAAAATTGCAACTCATGCATTGTGAGAAAAAACTACATCCAAATTTCGTGTGAACATTTATCTTGGAGAAATTCTTGGATGCAATTCTCCTCTGTGATTCATTTTCTACTTTTTATTAATTACCAAGTCCTCCTCTTTGGTGATGTAGCCACAGTGGCTAACGGCCATCCCGCTTCAAATGTGAGAGGTAGTTGATTTTCAAACAAAAGAGAAATATGAAATCTAAAACTTTAAGTAATAAAAATGAACATTCAGTTTTTCACCTTTACAATTTGTTCCTCTCGTGGTTTCATTTTCCAGTCTCTAGAGCAACAATTCCTAGTTGCAGTTTTGCCACAGCCAGAATAGCATGTATTATCCCAGTGGGCACCACAGGGGTTATTTAAATTCAGCATAGTCTATAGAATAAATGGGAGATGTATGCCGTATTGGATACCTGGGAAAGGAACAGGGAAAATTTCATGAAATCATCCAAGTAACAAAAGTCTGAGGGACCCTACCTCAGATTTTCTGCAGTCTGACTGAGAAGGAGGGGCTTCATTGGCCAGAAACAGCTCTCCAGGGCAACCTGTCTGTCTGCACCTCTAGTCTTTTTTGTGATCTGGGGGCCAACTAGTGGTGAGCCTTTTTACCTCTGTGTACTGACCTCTTGATGTAGTAAAGGGGCCTGGTCAAGCACAGGCCTTCCCATAATAGGATTCCCAAAGGAAGACATACCAGTTCTGTGGGGTTTTCTTCTTGACCTTAATCGGGGTGGGGGTGGGGGTGGGGGAGGGAGTGGAGAACAGTGTGAGCAAGAGAAGAGAGACAACACAGACCTCAGGACCAGCTGTCTGTTTGGAGAGTAGGACAGGACTCTCATCCCAACAGAAGTCTGCTTTCTTTACCTCATTTCCTTCCCCCTTCTTCCAGTCTCAGCCTCCTTTTTGTAAGAAAATTTGTCTCTGTTAAAGTCTATAATATTTCTTTTTTAAGGCAGCTTGACTCTTGTAATCCAGGAAAAAGGTAGATTTCAGATAGAGATTAAAAGATTCTCTCCAAATCACTGGCTTCCCATCTCATCTCAAGATGGCAGCCCAGACCGTAGCTCCTGCTACAAATCACCTTTTGTATCTGCTGGCGCTCTCTCTCCTTCTGGCCTGAGCCAGTTCCCTGGATGTTTTCAGTAGTTCAGGTTGTTAATATTGAGACCAGTTTGTACTGTTCATTCCTGACAACTGCACATTTCCAACTTTCCAAAGCTTTGTATTTATAACAAGAAAATGTAGAATTAGGATAGGTTGCTATTGGCATGCAGTCTTTACCAAATTTGGTCTTCTTTCTACAATTTAGCGTTCTTTTAATCTACTTTAATGGGAAGTTGATGATATAAATGTATTATATGAAGCAACACCTTTTCTTTGTGGTCCTGATCCATTTTTGCACATGTAGCCCAAACTATGGCTGATGAGCCTTGGCCCAGGAGTTTTCTTAGGTCAGGGTGCTTTGGACTCCTCTCCAAAGCTCTGCTTTGGGTGCAGTATGGACAATATCAATACAATACAGTATTGGCAGGACTCAGTAGACTTCTAAGTCCTGGTCTGCATTTTCCCCCCAACTTGGCCTCACCTACCTTGGACAGAATGATTAGATATCAGTGACAAGGGTTGCATTACTCATTTACCTGTGCATGTAGGGCTTGCATTTCCAACGGAGAGAGATCACCCTAAGGAGGCAAAAATTGGTTATTGGGGGAAGTGAAAAAAATGGTTGAGAAATACTGATGTAGGATGAGGATGCCAAGAAGCTAGGCACTGTCAGCCTATCAGAGACTACGCCTCTGATTTTCAGAGAAACTGAGGAGGAAACTTGCCCCAGACAGAACATCCCCAGTTTCTCTCAGCCTCCAAGTCCTCCATCCCTAGAGAGGAAGAGAGCCCTAAGGGATTGGCCATCTTCTTGCAGGAAGGAAGGCCCCGTTGCCCCCTCCAGCCCCTCCCAGCACGCAGAGACAGACACACGCATACACAGCAGTGATCTCCATTCTGTGTGTCCTGAACAGGGAAAGCAGAGAATAGGATTTCCAATAGCCCATTGTCAAGCTGCAATTTTCTTAAAGTGTTTTTCCTCAGTGCAGCCCAATGTAGCTAAAAATAGTAGCCATACATATGGAATTGCTTCAGCCATTTTAGTTGGATTCAGTCTGAACACATGGGTAATTCAGATGGAGACAATGTCCTGACAGTGTCATCCAAGTTCTGGCCACCAAGAAGTTACTGCTCCAGCTGTAGAGAGCCTCCAGCCCAAGCATACCACCCCCGCCAACACACACACATTCTCTCTCTGTGGCCCGGAGAAACCTCTGGGAGGTATAAAGTAAAGGGCCATGTGTGCTCCCATTTCTGGCATTTAACCCTTCTGGTAGCCAACAGCCTTGCCCGTGGAGATGAAGGAATACTTAGCCATCTTCTTGCTTTAGCTGCCACCTTGGCCCAATGACTGACTTCTGGGTCTTTATCCTCCCTCGGACCCTCTGAACTAGCTGTGAGGCCATAGCCACCGTGTTTGGGGCAGTGTAGTCACAAACGCAACCAGTGGAAAAGTCCTTAGCACACTATCTTCCCAAAGTTTCCCTTTACTAAAGCAAAGCTATAGAAATTTGTCTGGCCCCACATGTTTAAATGAGCACAATTAGCATTCCTTATGGTTTAATTATATCTTTCCTTCCAGTTTTTAGATTATAGAGCTTGTCAAATTTTCTGGCTTTCATACCAAAATAGTTCTCTCACGACTGAATTATATGCGTAAACTGGGTCCTTTCTGTGAATAACTTCCTGCCTGAAAATAAGCGTGTGGAGTGTGGATGGCAGCGCCGCTCAGCACCGGGGCTTCCTCTGCAGTTTATCCGATTGATGTGCACTCGCCCACTGACATCTTGGAACACTCTGGGAGGATCATATGAAATTTGGCCAACTTGTCCCATTTAGAAAGGAAGAAGCTGTTAGGGGAGAGTTGGCAGTAGTAGAAACTACCTCCCAGGAAGTAAAGGTTACTGTTAAAAAAATAGAGATTTGAGCTGTTGGGGAGAGGAAGGAAGGGAGGATATTGTATACCAAACACCACCTGGAGTTTTCTTACATGGTTATTGAGCCCCTGGTTACAGTAACCTTATCAAGCCCAGATAGCTTAGAGTGGCATTTCCCAGCAGGGACACGATAGGCATTGGGACCGTTTTTCGTTGTGGGAGACTGCAGTACATTGCCGGATGTTTTAGCATCCTGCCCCACCCCGCCGCCATAGGCTAATGCCGGTAGCCTACAACCTCCTCCTCCACCTTCCACTCCCAGACACCCCCTAGGGAGGCAGCACCACTCCGGTCCTTTTAGAGCCATTTCTCTTTAAAGTCGTCCATGAGATGACTAGGAACAGAATCTTCAGTGCCTAAGATGCTGGTTACTTTTCATAAGGACTTTTGCCACATCCAAACCTGGCTTAGTTGTGTTCAAATCAAATGTGTTAGCACTGTGTCCTCTCAGACTGGAAGTACTTTTTCTTAAAATGCCAGACAGGCTGAACCTAGGTAGGGGGAGAGCCCCCAGTGTCAGAGCAGTGACAGGTGGGGCTGTCCTAGACGAATGGTCAGAAGCCCAGAGCCTGGTCTTGACTCTGTCAGCAGTTGGCTGTGAGACCCCAGGCAAGTCACTTGCCTCCTCCGTGACAGAGGAATAATCAGGAATAACTCCATCACTACAACTCTTCACGCAGTTGTTGTGAAAGTAACCAGAAAATAATGTGAAGATCGTGAAGGTAATAGGAAATCGTTTAAGGAATGTTATCTGGCGGCTCTGTGGCATCCTGGTTGGTCATGATAGTGCCAGCAGTGCCCGTCGTTCCGCTCCACGGCGCCCTTACCCCTCGGCTAAACAGGGAGAGAGAAGTCTCTGTTTTTGCTAATGAATATGGTCATGCCAGTGAGAGGCAGACGGGACCATCCTGAAGGCTCCCCCTTCCCCACATTCACTTAGTTACCTCCCTCGGTTCCTGGTGAGAAATTAGCCCCAGGGTTGGAGAGCACCTCCAGTCCATGTGTTCTAAATACAACATGCAGCTTTCAGTGATCTCTTTAACCAGTTCTTTCTGTTCTTTCCAGTTTTTCCCCAGTTATACTTCCACATGATACACCAAAGAAGAAAGATCCTTTCTCATACTGAAGAACACAGGAAATTTGAATAGCTCCTGCTTTTCTCCAAAAACAAAACAAAGCAAAAACTTTTCAATAATCAAAAAATGCTGCAGACTTTTTGAGTTCCCAACACGTTTCATAGAAAATAAGTAAGAACTATTTTTAAAATATTAAAGAAAGAAAACAAAACAAAAATCAAAATCCAGTGTTACATTGGTCTGGGATTTTATTTAAAAAAAAAAAAAAGAAGAAGAAGAAGATGAAGAAGTAGGCTGTTACATAAAATATCCTGGCTGGTCCATTTCAGCATGCTCTTTCTACCAGAAATTCCCGATATACAGGATGGCAATAGAAAGGTATTTGGCATTTTATAATATCCTCCTGTCTCCTTCACGTACCTGGTAAATAACGATCTGTAACATGAAACACGTGAGAGTTACAGTCTGCGTGATGAAGTGCCAGCCGAATGCCAGCTTGCAGTAATCTTTCAGTCTGTAGTGTGTTCAGCATTCCCCTTTCAAAGTGCTTAACTGCATGCTGGAAATTATTTGTATTTTTGAAGCGGCTCCTTTGTTCTCTGGAATGCTCTGAAGTCATGGCTGGGATCTATCGCCTCATATCTAGTGAATGAATTATAAAATGTAGATGCCTGTGAAGCTTCGGGGTAGTGCCCGTAATCGGAAAACAACTATCGAACCCTTTTGTTTGTCTTCAATTGAGTCATCACTGCCTGCCACTAAGGACGTGCTCGAATTTAATAAGTGTGTGCACACTGTAAAGAACCTACCTTATCTGTGGCTCAGCCTCATCATATTTTAATACAATGACAGTTCTCAGAAAAAGAACGATCAATAGCTACTAAATGACAGTACCTTTCCCAGTACGAGTCTCAGAACACCTGTAAGTAATGTATTTGCCTATAGCTGTTCTGATTTATAGACCTGAAACCAACCTAGTCACAGAAGAGCAGGGAATCTGTTATTGAAAGCACATAGAAGGTGTTGCTTTAGAAATCTAGTCCAGAAGAGCATCCAGGAATAGGTTTATACTTATTTTATTTTTAAATTTTCATTCAACTCTTCTATTTGGATACTTTTCCTAATTGTGATCCTATTTTAATTCCCATCAAGTTATTTTAAGTCCAAAAGCGGTGAAATGTTCAAGGTGGGCAGCCTTGAGTTAGCCACAGCATCTGTGCTTGCTGGGCCAGCCAAGGAATATCTTGGCTGTATGGACATTGTCTAATTAACGTCCTATCTTCTGCCATTTAACTGCTCACCTGTGCTTTGACAACCCTTCAAGAAAGAGTTGTATGAAAATGTAAAGCCCAAGTTTAGATTTGCATTAGATTTTAAATGTGTGTTCTTCTTTGTGAAGGCTTTGTTCAGGTGCTTTTTCTTGGTCGATCTTTAAAACTGTATAAGTCTTGCTTACTGAGTAGTTATTTTGAAATATAATTGCTAATAGCAGAGGAGTGCCGTGATGGGAAACTAATTTTTCAAATGTTTATTTCATAGAAACTTGAAAATTAAGGTGAAAATGAGGAGGAAATATGCAGCCTAAAATGTAATGCAGGCAGGTGTGTAATCAATTATTTTTGAAGTGCACATTAAAATTCTGCTTCTTAAATTTAGAGTTCTTAAGTTGGGTGTGGTGGGATGAGAATCTGTTCTTGTACTTGATAGACAAAAGATGGGGGGAAGATAGTTTTTCATGCTTTTTCTCTTTTTATTCTTCCAAAATGTATTTCTACTGTAAAATAGAACAAATTTGGGTTGTATCAGCCTTATTACTTTGGTTAAAAATTTTTTCAATTTTTTTGAGATCGTTGTAGAAGAAGGGACAAAACATGTAGGTTTTCCAGGATTGCCGAGACTGGGGTTTTATTCAACCTGCATTACAGTTTGTCCCTGTTTATGAAAAAGAACCTGTTGCAAACAGGGGTGTTGTGTCAAATTGAGCTTTGGCAACAAGAACAGAGTGGACAACTCCCTTCTTCGAAAAGGGTCTCAACCCTCATGTGTATTTTGTACGTCAACATTTAAAATACTTCTGGCAGATAAGTAAGGCATGTCACTGTGTCCTTCAGTAACCTCTCGCAATAACTGGTTTCTCTCCCTAAGATGAATTAATTTCTCCTGGGAAGTGGTGGTGTTCTTTTATAAACAGAGAACATCCAGCCCCACCAAATGTCACATCTCTTATAAAGTGTTAATGAGGAATGTGATGTTTTGGTGAGTATTTTGTCAGACTTAGCAGTTTCATTGCAGGGCATAGTCAAAGGCATCATCTTCACAGCTACCCACTTGACTGTGGGTTTCATTTCCCCCCACAGGGGGCCTTCTTTTGGCAGAGGGAATCCTTTGAGGGACACAGTAGTGCTTCGTAGACACTAGCTGCTAATCTGCGTCGTGCTGTGTTCTGTTTGCTAAGGTTGGGATCATGCATTTAACATGGACTGACCGTTATCAGAGGCACCATAGAGGGTTAATCGTGGAATGAAGTACTGTCCTCCCAGACAAAAAGGTTGCTGGGGAGAGAACTTCCAATAGGAAAACTTTAAAAGGTGTGGATGAAGAGATCGCACCCTGATTTTTCACTTGTTTTCTTTTTTTTTTTTTCTGGTTATTTGTTTATAATAAAAGGTTGGCATTGATGTGGTCCAACCTGCAAATTATTTTCAATTCTGGGTTTCAGATAAAACATTATAAAACATCAAATTCAGTACCTACTGCTCTTTTGAAATTTGGGTGAAAAAATTATATGACCATATATATAGTCATTTTTGTATTTTTTCTATGTTGTGAAAACCAAAACTGTAATTTTATAAGTCTTTGATTCACTAAAATTATATAATTTAAATGTATTTTTTGTATATTTAGAAATAAGGAGTTCAAAGATTATGCTTAACTTTCTATGCATGCATTCGGAAGCTGTTTTTTCCTAATACTGTTAATGTAGTAATAAGCTGTATTCATAAAATACTGATCTGTGTTGCATTTCAGAATAAACTGGTATGTGCTCTGCCTGGATTTGAAATACTGAGTGAGTCTAGTGATTTTCCACATGGTATCAGCCTAAATGTGACATGCAGGAATATGGAAGAGTTCCAGTTCTCTTATGGATTCAGCTCTTTCTGGGATGTTTAAAATCTATTTTTGCTATTCATAATGGTTCTGCACTTATGGGAAAAAGAGACAGATTTTTAATATATATTTACTCACAGGGTGCTATTTTTTATAGTTCCTTTTATGATTAAATTTATGAACAGTAAGGAATAGTGCCATAAATTATTTCATTTCCACGGCACTTGATTTCTCATTTTTAGTGTGATAAAAGTAGACGGTATTATACAGCAAACGGATATTTTATATAAAAAGGTTTAAGTCTTAGTTTTCTAATATAAGTTGAAAGGGGATATACTGTTGCCCAGAAATATTCATCTTGTATTAAAATGAGATTTGGTGAAGTTCAGGTACCTCATCCTGAAAATGCCCCCCAAATATAGAACAATCCTAGGAACTGCTTTACTCGCTCTAAAGTTCACAGTAAGAAGTAATGGAAGGACGCTGACTTAGGATATTCGGCTGGGCCACTTCTGGCCTTTTAGCTGTAGATCCCCAATTTGCTCACCTCAGAATGAAGGTGCAGTTGATCCCCCTCTCACAGTGCCTCTAGAAGTCATACGCCCCCCTTCCTGGCCACCCCTCCCCCCACCTGGGTCTTTCTCAGAAACTGTTGCCACTGTTGTCACGAGTGTGGTCTTCACCTACTTTCTAATGGTTCAGAGAGAGAGAAGACAAATGTGACAAAATGTTAAGAATTTTGTTAGGTGTGGGGATATGGTTGATCACTGTACGATTCTCTTTGAGTTTTCTGTTTATTTAAACTTTTTCATAATAGAGTTTAGGGGGGGAAAAAACCTAAAAGAAAATTCCAAAGGGGAACATTTTCTTTCCAAATGCCATCTGATCACGGCTTAGAGGTAAGTAACCCACACAGAGGTAAGAATGCCTCTCCTCATGCAGAATCCACTGCTTCAGAGACAGGCTTCTCATTTATGAAAAAAGAAAGAGATTTCGACTGAAACTGCAGAACACATGGTTCAGTTAATAGTGGAGGCTGCCCAGCAAATAAAGCCTTTATAATCTTAGATGGTAATGAGAAATGGGGCTTTCTAATTTGTCATTGTCATATTTTGTGGCAATTACGTGTATTATGTTAACATAAGCCCTAGCCTGAAGGAATTACCATTGGTACAATTAAGAGACCTACTGTTACACACAGCATTCCAAAAATACTGCTGTGTTGTTCTATTCCCTTTAACAAGAATGAAGACTAGCTTTGCAATTCCTCATCTTATTAAAAAGGAAAAAAAAAAAAAAAAAATGCCAGCCTCACAAATAGCCTAGTTCATTGTCATACAGTTTAGTGGTGAAGAAACTGTTCTAAGCAACTATTAACAAAAATAGCCATACCTACAATTGAAGGAGCCCTGGCGGCTCAATGGTTAAAGCGCTTGGCTGCTAACCAGAAAGTCAGCAGTTCGAACCCACCAGCCGCTCCGCCGGAGAAAGATGTGGCAGTCTGCTTCTGTAAGGATTTACAGCCTTGGAAACTCTATAGGGCAGCTGTACTCCGTCTTATGGCGTCACTATGAGTCGGGAGCGACTCGATGGCAGTGGGTTTGGGTTTTGGCCTACAAGTGAGAATCAGAAGAGGGAGCTGTGTGGTTTTTGACCAACAAGTTCTTTTAAACATGTGAGAGATTATTTTTTTTTTCCCAAATTGAGAGCGATACCTTAATGTCATAAGGGCAGGTTTCATTACCAAAATTATCCTATATTCCCACAAAAGGCAATTCACCCTAAAAGCCTCACATTAGATTAGCAAGAATTAAAATGGGAGTGAGAGGCTGTGGACTTAAGCACCTTGTATCCATTTCGTAAATCTTTTTCTGATGGAAAATTGTGTTTTCTGCGCCCTAATTACAGAGCATGGCCTCATTACCACGGCAGTGTTTCTCCATCTCTCTCCAGCTTTCTGTGCATGCGATCCAGATGCGTTTACAGCTGCTGCGCTTGGTTGACGCCGCGAACGCCATTTCCCCCTTTGTGTTGTCGTAGCTGGGCTGCCCCGCTAGGGGGCAGCACCTCGCAATCGATCCGGGGCACTGGGCGTAAAAGAAATCTGGAAAATAGCTTCAGTCCAAGAACTCGGAAGGGGCAGAAAGGCACATTAATGAAAATT